ACTGGGGGAGGGCATGCCCACCACGCTGGGGATGCCGACGCAGGCAGCAAGCAGCTGACAGAACAGAGGGGATGACTGCGTGGTGTCTTGGAGAGACAAAGACCAGCCTTCCACGGAGGAGCCAGAGCAGTAAATGGGCAAAATTCAAGGAAAGAGCAGCAGCAGCCAAAGCTACCCTGGGGCAAGAGCACAGAGCGGTTGGAAAGGGAGCGCTCGCCCAGGAGCACCCACGGGGGCAGCTGCTCTGGGGCGTGGGTGGGGTTGCCCGCCGGGGCTGAACCTGGGTGCCCCCATGGCCCAACGTCAAGTATGCAGAAACTTGGGCCTGGGAGCTCCAGGCAGGCAAATGAAAGGCTGTGACAGAACTGCTCAGCACAGCAAAGGGGCCGAGAACAAATGAGATGCCCACCACGGGGACAGCCGCGGAGGCTCCGTCAGGATCCTGAAGGCGGAGCTGGGGGCTGTGATAGGAACAAGGGCAGCCACACGCATCAGTAAGGGGGAATTTCAACAGCCCAGCGCTAACTGTATGAAGCAGTGTGCATGTGCACACTCACACGCGTGTACAGCTCATGTTATGCATGTCACAGTCACATGCACTGGCTTGTGCCCATCGGGATGAACTGTTTCTCCCTTTGGTTGTTGTATTACGGCTCCTCAGACTGCATGCAAATGTTGCTGAAGATGGTTTTCTATTTAGGATATTTACACACACACACACACACACACACTCCCAGACAAAACCCTGGAAACTACCCAAGTCAGACTTCCACATTCCAAACAAAACAGGAATCAGTGATGTGGAAGAAAAGCTTGGTGGAGGGAAAAATGAAAGGAGATGAAAAGGACCTGGCAGGTGCCTGTCTAGAGAGGGGCTGGAAGCCGACGGCGGTGGCCGGGGCAGGACACACGCAGAAGAAGCCGGGTGCAGGCGGCGCACCCTCGATCAGGTCAACAGCACTGTCGCATGGGGGCACGGTCATGCTGTGTTCCTGACAGCTGGCAGAGAGGAAACCAGGGACGAGGTGGTGGCAGGCACCGACCAGAGATCACCAACAAAAACCCTCACCAAGAAGCTGATGGTCAGGGACATCTGTGGCCGTCTATGGGCACCACGAGCCTTAGTGCCCTCAGCAATGACTGAAGTCAAATTCAACTGAGCACCCATACTGATCTTTTTCACTTATAGAAATGAAAGGGGGTGAGCAGCGCTGTGGCATAGTGGGTAAAGCTGCCGCCTGTGATGCCAGCATCCCATATGGGCACCAGTTTGAATCCTGACTGCTCCACTTCTGATCCAGCGCTCTGCTATGGCCTGGGAAAGCAGTAGAAGATGGCCCAAGTCCTTGGGTCCCTGCATCCACATGGGAGACCCGGAAAAAGCTCCTGGCTCCTGGCTTTGGGTCAGCACAGCTCTGCTCATTGTGGCCAACTGAGGAGTGAACCAGCAGATGGAAGACCTTGTTCTCTCTCTGCCTCTCCTTCTCTCTCTGTATAACTCTTTCAAATAAATAAATAAATCTTTTAAAAATTTAAAAAAATGAAAATAGCTCCTTTAGTGCATTTCCCAATTTGCTTGTGCTTTTTTCAAAGGTCCTGTCTGCTCTATCTTGTTTCTATTCCTTCTCATGTTTCAACGAATCAACTTAAATCTTACCCGTTGCTCTTGCCTTCCCTGGGAGCCAATTCTCCTGGTTGCTCCCTTTCCCTGCACATTCCCGTGGGACTTTTCTCCATGTGATTGGTAGATGCCAGAGATAAAGCCCACAGAATTTTAGTAGGAAAGATGATTTATTGCATCATCAGTCAAGTAGTCTTTAAAAAGAAAAATTGAGAGAGCGCTCCCCTCATCTGCTGGTTCACTCCCCAGATGTCTTCAACAGACCTGGCGACTGCCACAGCCAAAGCTGGGTGATGGGACCTCAAACCAGGTTTCCCACGTGGGTAGCATGAACCTCATCACCTGAGCCATCACTGCAGCCTCCCAGGGTCTGCACTAGCAGCAAGCTGGAGTCAGGAGCCAGAGCTGGGAACCGAACCCAGGCACTCTGATGTGGGACCGGCATCTTAACAGCAGGCTGACCCTTCCCACCCGCTGTGAGACAGCCCCTAGCCAGCACCCCTCCTCCTCCCAGTCCTTGTCACCATCTGCAAAGTCAGGGTTCACCTGGTCGCAGTCTCTCTCCCCCACTGCTTGGTACACAGAAGATGCTCAATGAACACATGATCCACGCCCCCGGGTGGAATGAATGCAGGAGACTGCAAGCCCCTCCGCAGCAGGGGGCTGGGGCTCACACCTGCTGCACTGGAGTGCACACAGGACAGCCAGCAGCGCCCACCTGCAGCCCAGAGACAGCGCATGGCCTTGGTGGCCAAGAGGATGGAAGCAAACTTCCCCGGGCACGGGCATGCCTGTTAGGAAACCCAGGCGCTTCGCCAGGGTGCGCTTTTGCACGTGGGAGGTTCGTAGGGGTGTGGCCCTGGCGGCTTTAGACGCCCTTGCTATTCGGCTTCCTCTTTGTTTTTCCGAGGAAAGGCACGAAGAAGACAATTACTGCCAGTTTCCCACCCCGGAAGCAGACGGGAAAACGCAGTGCCCACAGGCGCGCGCACCCATGTGGCCACAGCCCTGCAGGCCAAGCGTCCACCAGGGCCGAGGCGCAGCGGGAGGGGACACCCCTGATCCCGCTGAGCTCCACCGACCTCCAAGAATTCAAGGACAAGCTGATAGCGCAACGCGCAGCCTCAAGTGCTCTGCCGTGGGAGAGATAAGAACATTCGCGCGGAGCTATTTCGGACTCTTCTGGACATGCGAGCACCCTGGAGATTAGCGCCACGGGAGGCCTTCCCTGCTGCCTGCCCAGGACGATTAAGAGGCGCGAGGGCGCCTGCAGCGTGCTGCACAGGGTGGCAGCCTCGGTGGCCCTCCGCTGAGCTCATCAGCTTGCTGCGCGCGGCTTCCTGGCTCTCTGCCCCCGACAGCTACCATCCTGTCCTGCTGGAGCACCCACGGGGTCGTTTTAAGCAACTGCCTCTCTCACACATACTGCAGGTTAAAAGGGGCCCCCTGAAAATGGGAGGGGCCTCAGTCAGAGGGGACATGCCTGGCTGGGCAGGAAGGGGAGCTCTCCTGCTGAGGGTACCCCGCTCTCCTGCGGACACTGCTGTGTCCTCACGGCCACCCTGGCAGGGGGGGTTTACCACCTCTGCGGCCAGATGCCGGGTGAGGAACTTCCAGGAAAAGCAGAGGTCCCACCTGCCGCCAGCCGTGTGGCAAAGACAGCAGTGACAGATGAAAATGTTTTTAAAACAAGCAAATTTATCTATGCACCAAAGCCAGATTGCAGGTCTCAGTGGAGCAGAAAGCCAAGGTATTCATGGGCTTGAGGGGCTGACGGCCCAGCTGGCTGAGCTCTGAGGCCAGAAGCAGGTGTTCAACTGGTCTTCCAAGGCACAGGGGCCTGAGGTGCCCTCTGGGAGATGGGGCCTAGAGCCAGTCACTCACAATGAGGCTGGTGGGGTTGGCGCGGTGGTGCAGTGGGTTAGGTGGCCGCCTGCAGTGCCGGCATTCCTTATGGGCGCCGGTTCAAGTCCCGGCTGCTCCACTTGCCATTCAGCTCCCTGCTAATGACCTGGGAGAGCAGCAGAGGCTGGCCTAAGCACTTGGGCCTCTGCACCCACATGGGAACCCGGATGTAGTTCCGGGCTCCTGGCTTCAGCCTTTGTAGCCACTTAGGGGAGTGAACAAGCAGATGGAAGATTCTCTCTGTCTTGCCCTTTCTCTGTAACTCTGCCTTTCAAATAAGTGAACGAATCTTTTAAAAAGTAAGTGATGCTGACAAGGTGTTTCCCACCCATGACAGACAGGAGGCTGAAGGGAGCAGAGGGCCGCCCACAGCTGGCGCGAGGGTGAGCCCGAAGCTGAGAGGACAGCTGGCAGCAGCACACAGGGCAGCGCCAGGCCAGGCGGCCACAGCAAGGGGGACTGGCTCAGGGATGATCCATCAGTACCAAGGACAGACCGGGGACACCTGGCTCTGTCCTAGGGGACCCAGCAGAGGCAGCTGCAAAGCCGGGCAGCCAGGAGAGTGGAGTGGGAGGCGACAGGTGGGGAGGGAACGAGACGGACTTCCTCTGGAGAGGAACTCACAGACCCACATTGCAAACGCCCAAGGGAAAGGCAGGCGAGGGAGACGTGGAGAGCACCTCACACAGATGGGGCGAAGTGCAAGGTAGCACCAGAGACTCCACACAGGAAGTGCCATGGGCTGCAGCCGGGAGCCACGTGTGCCTTCTGGCAGGGGAGAGGTGAATGGCAGAAGAGCAGTGTTCATGGGTTTTCCAAAACTCAGACTGAAGCTGTGCCCCGGCAAGGCACGATGGACGCGGAAGTCTGCAGCGGGCAGCGGGCAGCGGGGGGCAGGTTCCCCACACCCAGGCCCTCCACCCCAACCTGGCCTTCCCATGGAGGACGCCGCCTGCCTGCCCCTGCTCGTCGGGCTCCCCGCCAAGCCTGGTGTGGGGAGGAAAGCCCAGTCTGGGGCAGGGGCGGCCCCCATCTGCTGCTACTCGAGTCCACTCTGAGCCTCACCTCAGCCCATGGAGCGGGGTCAGAACAAGAATTACAGAGAAGCAGACGGCGGCTCCATTCCCAGCTGCCCCCTACTCACTCCGTGTCCACAGGCACTCAACCGCTGCGTCTCCACTTCCCTGCCAGGGAAGGGGGTAAGGATAGCGTCTCCCCCCCGAGGCTGCTGTCAGAGGCCCTTGCGGCAGCAGTGGCCACAAGTGGACACTCACCTGGGGCAGCTCCTACCGACAGTCCCTGCCAACACCACCCACACGCATGCACAGTGGGAGGGGCTCCTTGCCCCTACCACAGACCCCCGGGTACACAACCAGCACCTGTAGCCCCCGATGCAGGGGCTGATGAGCAAGCCAGCAGGCTGTCCCTCCCACCATGCATGCCGATTCCCCCCAGCCCTGGCTGGAGGACCTACCTCTCTCTGCTCACTGCAGATCTTACACAGCCACAGGGGCCGCTTCTGGCCCGGGCAGGTCTCGATCCCACACTTCGTGCAGACTTTCTACAAGAGAGAGCACACAGGGTATAAACACATCGGCCACCTCCTCCTTGGCTCAGTGGCAGGGACGATGGCAACCCCAGGATGCCTGGCTGTCTTCCCAGGGCGTGGCTGTTGCTTTGGTGCAGAGGTTTGGGGCCACACCAGAGACACAGAGGCCCGAGGATGCCCCGGCTGGCTGTGGGCTATGAGGGATCTGAGAACAAGGCGCTGAACTGCAGTCTCCTCTCCCACCCTGTGATGCTCTATCGAGACCACACCAGAAACACGTGCTGAGAGTCAAAGCTGCTCTTTATTATCAACAGCAAAGAACTGGAAACAACCCCAACACCTGATCTCAAGGAAAGTTCTAGACACACATGGAATGTTAAACAGCCTGAGCATAGCCACTTGGAAATGCAGGCAGGAAATCATGTCAATCAGCACTTGTATATATCCACACAAAAAGCTGACACGTGGGGTCAGTGTGGTGGTGCAGCAGGTTAAGCTACCACCTGCAGCACCAGCATGCCATGTGAGAGCTGGTTCAAGTCTCAGTTGCTCCACTTCCGATCCAGCTCCCTACTGGAAAGCTTTCCCTGGGAAAGCAGTGGAGGCTGGCCCAAGTGCTTGGGCCCTGCACCCATGTGCACGTGGTAGACGCAGAAGAAGCTCCTGGGTCCTGGCTTCAGCATGGCTCAGCTCTGGCCATTACGGTCATTTAAGGAGTGAAACAGTGGATAGAAGATCTCTCTTTCTGTCTCTCCCTCTCTCTTTGTATCTCCCCTCTGTCTGTAATTCTACCTTCAAAATGAACACATAAATCTTTTTGAAAAAATAAGCTTACATGTAGGGGCTGGAACTGTGGCATAGTGGATAAAGCCACTGACTGTAGCATCAGCATTCCATGAGTGCTGGTTTGAGTCCTGGCTGCCTCACTTCCAATCCAGCTCCCTGCTAACGTGCCTGGGAAAGCAGCGGAGGATGGCCCAAGTGGTTGGGCTCCTGTACCCTTGTGGAAGATGTGGAAGATGCTCCTGGCTCAGCTCTGTCCACTGAAGCCATCTGGGGGAGTGAACCAGTGGATGGAAGACCTCTTTCTTTCTTCCTCTGCCTCTCTATAACTCTGCCTTTCAAATGAATAAATAATTTTTTTAGATTTATTTATTTGAAAGTTAGAGTTAAACACAGAGAGAAGGAGAGGCAGAGAGAGAGAGAGGTCTTTATCCGCTGGTTCGCTCCCTAATTGGCCACAATGGCTGGAGCTGCGCTGATCTGAAGCCAGGAGCCAAGAGCTTCCAGGTCTCCATGTGGAGACCAGAGTCAATAAATCCATTTCTAAAAACAGGCTCACGAGGCCAGTGCTGTGGTGTGGCAGGTAAAGCCGCTGCCTGAAGTGCTGGCATCCCATATGGGCGCTAGTTCGAGTCCCAGCTGCTCCACTTCCAATCCAGCTCTCTGCTATGACCTGGGAAAGCAGTAAAAGATGGCCCAAGTCCTTGGGCCCCTGCACCTGCATGGGAGATCTGGAAGAAGCTCCTGGCTCCTGGCTTCAGATTGGCACAGCTCCGGCCGTTGCGGCCATCTGAGGAGTGAACCAGCAGATGGAAGACCTCTCTCTCTCTGCCTCTCTGTAACTCTTTCAAATAAATAAATAAATCCTTAAAAAGCATATGTGACAGGCTGGAAGACACCGGGCAACTGCCTGAGCACTGGCTTTATGACGAGCTCCTCGCTTAACGACCGCTCTCTGAAGCCCTAGTACGGCAGCACTGGACCCATTTCCCCGGGGCCACGGCCAGCACAGTGGATAAGGCCGGCCCGGGGCTGACGCCAGAGCTGTGACAGCGTCTCCTCTGCGGCTTCAGAAACGGCGGGATCGTTGTGCCTTCCACGGGGCTGGAGCAGCTCGCAGCTTAAACACCGTTTTCCTTCCCCAGCAGGCACTGCAGCAAGCAGCGCAGGGCGAGCCACGGGAAACGCGGGTGGCGGACGTGGGTTTGTTGGGGCTGAGCCTGGGTCTCAGCTTCCCCAGGTGCAGCCTGACTCAGCCACGCGTCACCTCCCCAGGGGCTCAGAGCTGGCCTCGGGGCCACCTGTCCCTGTGGGGAGGGGAAGGCTGGCGCAGTCGTTTGGCCTTTTCTGCAGGCTGCCAACAGAGCAAGGAGCTCTCCCGGCGAGAGAAACGTCACCAGTCTGGCTTCCCAAAGCGTGGTGTCAGCAGCCTGATGGGGCGGCTGGCTTGCACGCAAGGGAAGCTGCGAAGCCTTCGTGGGGTGAGAGGACTGGCTGCCGCCCAAGGCTCAGGTGTGCGAAATGTCACTGCTCATTTATTGCTCCAAAGCAAAGCGGCACCTGCTGCAAGTTCCTGTCCCAGGCTGCCGGCGAGGCCCAGGCATGACTGGGGTCCCAGCCCGGCTCTGCTGAAGGCCCCAGGCCTGGGGTCTCTGAAGGTCCAGCACATCTGGGGAAGGTCCCCTGGGTGCCATCCATGCCCTCTGAGCTCTGTGCCGGTCGTAGGTCTGGGATCATTTCTAGAAAGGAGCTCCTGGGGAGCTGTAGCCCTAAGCTGCCATCCCTGATGCGATCTGGAGCCTGCCCCTTCTCCTCGCACCCCCAGTGCTGCCTCGAGGACGGGATCTGCCGCATCGGCCCATGCATGGCACCGGCTGGGCCTTCCAACATGTGCCTCCCATCCCAGGGTCCAGCAGGTAGGAGGGCAGGGGTGCCGAGGCCAGTCGGCTGTGCCTCCCGGCTGATCCCTACTGCCCCACATACCCATGGGGCGTGTGCAGCAGCGAGCAGGGGTACAGGGCCCCAAGAGAGGTGAATTGCCCTGCTGCACTTATGGGGCTTGGGACGGCTTGCCCCTCCCAGGGCTGCCAAAGGGGACCCAAGGTCTTGGGAGCAAGGAGGGAATAAAATACCCATGACTACTGTTTGCCGAGCAGTTACAAGGCCAGGAACGGTGGCCCCAGCAACAAAACACAAGCAGGTGGGTGACAGAGCTGGGGGGGGGGGTCGGAGACCTCACAGAGCATGCGAGGTGGCCAGTCAGTGACAAAGCAGAGCCTCTCCCTGCTTCAGGAGAGCCAGTCCCGCCCTCCTTCGCCCAGGTGCCAAGCTGGCACCCACGGCTCTGCAGGGGGCAGGCTTCACTCAGGCGCTCCAGTGAGTGGGCAGAGAAGGCGACACAGCAGGAACTGGGACAGGCTCTTTGGAAACGTGAGAGCAGCAGGCAAGGGCTCACCCGCTGCCCGACATGGGCTCTAGGAGGAGGACAGGTCTCCAGAACAGGCAGGGAGCCCGGGGCCCCGCCTCCCCACTGACCCCCGCTGGCTTCCCACAGCCTGGCCCTGGCTGCCCTCCCTCGGAACGCAGCTCTGGGCACAGTGCAGCCTCGGCCCTGTCGTGGTCACTCAGCTGCCCTAACGAAAGTACCCAGGACCAGGCGGGGAAGCCCACAGCTCTGGAGGCCCCGAAGGCCCACCCAGGGCGCCAGCACTGCTGGGTGCTGGTGAGGGCCCCTTCCATCCTGCAGGGTAGAGTTGGGAGATCTGGTCTCCTCCTCCTGGGGGCTCCACTGTCATATCTTTAACCCTAATTCATGCCCACAGGCCCTAAAATACCACCCCACTGGAAGTGAGGGCTCACAAGACACATACGCTCTGTCCATGCAGCCCCTGACCAGCATCAGGCGTCTCTCTCCGCTCTTGCACACTGGAGCCCTGGAAATGGGCGCAACATCATCCATCTTGGCCCTGGAGGCCTCCAGGGGCTCCACCTCCAGCCTTCCTGCACCCTGTCACAGGTTTTAGGTTCCTGGAAGGATGCTCGTGGCTCGTGCAGAGGCAGCATGGCATGGTGCTGGGTGCTAGCTTTGGGGGAAGCCAGAGCTACCCTAAGCCTCAGATGTTCCCATCTGTAAAATGGGATAATAATGTTTATCCTCCAACGTTTTTCTAAATAGATTTTCTGTGTCTCTAAAAATTATTTACTGGGGTCAGCATTGTGGTATAGCTGGTAAATCCACCGCCTGCCCTGCCAGCATCCCATATGGGTGCTGGTTTGAGTTCTGGCTGCTCTACTTCTGATCCAGCTTCCTGCCAGTGGCCTGGGAAAAGCAGCAGCAGATGGCCCAAGTGCCTGGATCCTTGTTGCCCACACGGGAGACCAGAATGAAGCTCCTGGCTTCAGGCTGGTCCAGCCCTGGCTGTTGCGGCCACCTGGGGAGTGGACCAGTGGATATGCAATTGAGCGACGATTCATTCTCTCCCTCTCTCTCCCCATGTCTCTCCTTCTCTCTCTAGAACTCTTAATTTCAAACTAAATAATACATCTTTTAAAAAATTACTTATGTATTTGAGAGGCAAAGAGAGAGACAGAGAAAGAACTCCCATCTGCTGGTTTGCTCCCCGAATGCTGGCAACAGCTGGGGCTAGGCCAGGCCAGGCCAGGTCAGGAGCCCAGAGCTCAACCTGAGTCTCCCACCTGGGTGGCAGAGACCCCAGGTACTTGAACCATCACTGCTGTCTCCCCGGGTGCACGAGCAAGAAGCTAAATCAGGAGCAGAGCTGGGGCTCGAACATGGGATGTAGGAGTCCCTGGTGGGGTCTTCACCGCCACGCCCATCACCCGACCTGCCGGGGCTGCTCTGAGGATCCTGAGATGCTCACGCACAGCTACCGACACCGACTGTCCGTCACGGCTGTCTCCAGCGACACCCCCTTGCACCGCGGTCTTGACCCTCGCCTGATTCTCCTCTAGACCTGTGCTGTGGAATACGGTAGCCGCCGGCCAGGACGGGCACTGAACTGAGTAATAATGAGTCACTAGAGCAAGCAGCTCAGGTCCTCGGTGCCCCCACCCCCCGCGGTTGGCAGCCACCCTGGCGGACAGCAGGAAGACTCCCAGAGCATTTTCACCCCTGCGCTAGCTCTGCCGGCAGGAGGGCCCTGGGCTGCGAGCCCAGCACTCCCGACTCGCTCTGTGCTTCCAGCCGGCACCCAGCACTCCCGGCACGG